GTGTGTGCTGTGACTTGTCAGCAGATCTGCTGGAAAATTCAATTTTCCTGCACCTCTGACTCGTGCAGTAATCTTTAATAGTCTGTTGATTCTACAGTGCCCTTAACAGTGCCAGGCATTGTGTTGAGCTAAAAGAAAAGGTATGGATCAATAGGCTATAATTCAATTCATAATCAAGAGTCAGGTTTTAATAACCATGTTCCCTCTGGAAAGCATGGGACTCTTCAAGTGGTCCAACAGAAGCAGACGTACAAGAAAAGATGATAGTTCTCTAGCTAATTTGATTATCTGGTAATATTCATCTTTCAGGAAAGGGCCTGAGAATGTTTTCCATAAAGTAGATGATGGCTTCGGCAGACAATCCAAAGTCTCCGTGATTAGGCAGGCTTCTGAAACGACATCAGTAAACCTTGACTTGGGTGAGCTTAGATATGATACACAGTGTTCTTTTCAGATCTTTTCAGATAATGGAAGCTCCGTGTGATTTAATCTCTCCCAGGAAACTTCAGTCAAAAGGATTTAATACCTGAAAGCATCACTTTTAAGAAGCAGAATTATTTAAATTTGTCATCCTTGACAGCAGTTATTGATTGTGAGACCAAGTAGACAACATGCTATGGAACAATCCAGTGGTTTAAATATGAGCTGAAGTCTGAAGTGTTATCTTGAATATTTCTGTCTCTGTGCTATTAAATTTGAGTAGAGAGGTTTTTTCTTTAAATTGTTGACTATTAAATACACAGAAATTGTAACAGGATGATGACCCCATTTGCCTAGGCACAGTATACACAGATTGAAGGTGGCAAGCATTTCATTCAGCTGCAGGCAGGAGGGTTAGATATCTAATATACAGCTATCCAATGTGGCTTCCAAGTCATTTAGTTTAAGTTTGGACTCTGCTTTTTTAGAATAGGAAAGTAAGACTGATTAGAAAAGTGACACTTGCCAGAAATTTGAACTTAGTACTGATACTGGGTTTGTGCTTTGGCATTTTTTTTCTTGTGCGATGTGTAACCAGGTAACATGTACTCAATAGCAAAGCATGTGAGGACAGTAAAAATCCAGGGGATTCACTTCTGTAGAATTATGCTGAAGATCTTTCTTCATCTCTTAATAAAACAAGCTCTCTCCAAATGGCTGCCAAATCTGACTAGGTATGCTCAGCATGAATACTTAGTGCACAAGGTCTGTTTTGGAATGTTGCAGTCCACAGGATGACTTCTAATTCTTTCCAGAGCTTGTGTTGTACTTTTTCAACTGTTTAGAAAAGTATTCTCGGCATCCCATTTGGCTGGTAAGATCTTGTTTTTGCATAGGTTTATGGTGCAGGTGTGAGTTCTGAACACTCATTACACACATGTATGAACAGGTTATTTCTGGAATTCAGCATGAGTCTTGCTCGAGGCGTACTTAGGGGATCCAGGGTAATTCTTCATAATATGGAACTGATGTTCTTCCTCAAAGTCAATGTATGTGTGCTAACCTCTCCTAGGTGAGGATTCATGCCTGTTACTAGCAGGTATTGGCACAGCAGGTTGCACAGCATTTTGGGATTCTCATGCTAATGTTTAGCTCTGGATTTGAGTAAGACTCAGTGATCTTCAGACTGTTGAAAGTAACAGGAGCTTTCAATTTGTGATTTGTCACTGTTTTTTCAAGGTGATCTGTAGACATATTTGGGACGTATTTTTAGTATCTCCTCTTTAATTGTGAGCATTTCCAGAGCATTTTCTACAGCATCAGTATATAGCTGAACAATGTCTAGGAGGATATAGAAAATTATAAAATAATGGGAAGCAACAAAAATATGATGCACAGAAAAACTATAATAACAGAGGCTGAAGATAAGAATGTAGCCTCTGGTGGTTTGTTTTGAATTGGAATGAGTGCTCTTTTGTCAATGTCATCTGCAGCAAAATACAACTAGTACAAGAAACACTTGAAATACTGCAGATTTACCAAGTTGCTGCCTTTGGCCAAAGAGATGCATTTTTATGTCCCCAAAAGCTGAGGCATGAATAGCCTCCTGGATTTAGCTGCACAATCTGACTCCCTTCTGTGGATAAATAAGTGAGCAAGAGATTGCTGGAGAGCCGTGCACTTGAGTTATGGGACACCTGAGTTCAGCTGCTAGAAGAGGTAGGATTTTGTAGAGCTTTCTAGTAGTAGGAAAGTGTCAGTATTTTTTAAAAACTTTGTGTGCTGTTGCTTATAGAAAATCCATAGCACCCACATGGAGGACCAGTGACTGAGGATGTGAGCAGAGTTCAAAGGATGGGCTTAACCTCCTAATACTTTCTTTTAGATCTGAACAAATTGATCACCTTCTAAACTGTGGTTCAGAGTCCCTTCAGAATCATTCTTCCTTTTAAAAGCTGAATGAAAATTGCATTTACCTCTGGCCCTTTGCAAGTAATACATATTTGTTATTTTCCTATCATAAGATGGAAATAAATATATTAATTGGAAAATTCTGTCCTATAATATATGCACTTCAAATGAGGTGGAAATAATATATTCAAAAATATATAAAATAATATACTTCACTGGAAATAATATATTATGATGAAAAGTGTATTTCTGTGCTGTTATGAGAAGTTTTCAGATGCCTTATCACAAAGATCCCCTTCTGAGACTATGCATAACAAGCCTGAATTCAGGTAAAATAGCCACTTCCACCTGACAATGCAAAGCTAATTTTAGTCAATAAACAAAAATACATTGCTTTGCTGTTTCAGAATATAGCTGGGAATGACATTCCTGAGTATCATGTTCTGCACTTTTAAGTATTTTCATGATAAAAGCGAGCTGTGTAGGGGGAGAATTTAAGGAACACTCCAGCAAATCAGCAGAGAACACACTGTTATTGAAAAGCCTTAATGATTGCCTCCTGAGCCTCTGTATTAGCACAACTGTTCTGGTTTGGAGAAATTATTCTGACTTAACCCTCTGGAAAACCTTTAATAGTTATTTGAACAAAAGTTTAAAAGTGATGAAGGTATAGCTTTTTTTGTCAGCATGTGAAACAAACATTGTGTTGAAGGTATTCTGGGTAGCACAGTGATAAAACTGTGTCCACACCTTTTGTTTTGGCATCTTGTTTCCATGTCTTTAAGACTGTGGTTGGATGAAGTGCACTTTAACGTCATTTTTCTTTCTCTTTTTCTTTTTTGCCATTACATATATGCTTATGTTTTACATATAAATTAGTGTGTGTGTATGTATATATATATTTGGTGGTGTAGATATTTATACACATACACATAATTTAGGGTGTAAACAAAATTGTGGTGGATTCTATTGATGTGGGGCCTTGAAATCTCAATGTTTCCCTTTATCTCCAGCTGAATATTCAGTGCTACCCAGTGTAGAGTGACATGTGACAGCTACTTGCTTAATTATCACTTTTGCAACTGCCTCTTGATCAACATATATAAAAAGGCTCAGTGATGGGTGCTGACTGATTTAACTTCTTTTTAGCAAAGACACAGAAGGTAGCACAGCTAAGGTCTGGTGTTAGATTAAACTCTGGTCTTTCAAAATACGAAGCCAAAAATAGTTGCCTCTTCCACAGAAGAAGAGGACAATGCTAAGCTCTGTTCTGCACAGTCACTCCCAACGGATGTTAGCAAGCCTGGAAAGGCCATGAAGGTGAGGGCAGTCTTGAAGTCTCTTGTCCGAGTTCTAGCTGGGAATGAACAGGTATGGTCTTGATACTCCATGGCTTTGTAAAAATAAATATGTAAACAAATAAAGGAATAAACTCCTAGAACCAGGACCTCTTCTGAAGACTGTAGCTACAGTCACCTAGATGGGTCTCCCCAGAGGGAGAAAGGAGAAAAATCTCCCTCAGGTAGGTACTAGTGTACAGGTTGGAGAATGCTGATACTCAGCAACAACTTGCCAAGATCAGGCTTGGGTTAATCAAACAATGAAATCACCTCTTAACTTCCAAATGGATTTCCATGGAGACAGCATGACAGTAATAGTGTTTGGACTTTTTTATTCAATAAAAGTTTGAGTTATAAATATTCTCCATTTGTTTCCTATTTACACTTGTAAAATATTTTAGGATAGCCTACCCATCACCTGTCATTCAAGGTTTCTATAAATGTCATGAAAACATCATTGTGAAATAAAAATGTCTTATTTTCAGCCCACAAACCCAATTTCCACACACTCAAAAATAAAATCCAAGGGACAAAAAATAGGAGAGAAGGAACCCGGGGGTGAGGTGACAGGAATACAGTACAGCAGGCAACAATGTAATATTTGCTACACGGTAGCAAAAGAAATGGGTAAAAAATTCAGTCTGCTATGATGACAAGCTTTTCAGGACATTTGTTATAGACCAGCGCTGTCCAGTGCATTTCTGAAGGACGAGTTGAAATCCAAATTCATTTTCATTGTTTTCCTGCAATTCCAGGCAACGCTTGGATTTTCGGTTCTGGATTGGACCTCCCTTTAAGGATGGGAAAGAAAAGAAGTGCTTGAATTAAACACTGTCAATTTGTTGCATTGCTACTGTGTGATAATATAGATTAGAGAACATTCCAATGTCTATCTACTAAAGAAAGTCCACTGCTACTGGGAAAAGGTTTCAGTTAGAGACAAGATAAGCACTAGGTTGGATTTGGAGTGAAGGTTCCCTTTGTCACAGGCTGGTTTAATCTCTGATGCAGTCTGGAACAGCCTCCATTGCCTGGTTACTGTTTCAGCAAATGAGGTTTCTAGAATTGAGCTCTGTTTCTAGCTGTGTTTTTTAACCACAAGCCAAAAGCCTTCCTGTTTGCTTCAGTTACCTAGCTTAGTGGCTCTGCTGCACCTCTGAAACATCAAAAAAGGCAAAGGAGAAGCAGTGCCTTGGCCAGGGGTGTCCTGTGTGTAGGATAAAATGCAAAAAAATTGTTTGTTCTTTGAATTCTGAAATGAACTGTCTTTTCCAATTTTATGTTGCTCATCCTTAGTATTGACTCTCTGTTCAATTCTCAGCTTAATACTGCTGTATTAAAGCCCTGCGTTCACTGTTGAGTTGCAGCAAATCTGAAATCACTGGGACTATCACACAGTTAACTATAGACCTAAATTACAATTAAATCAACATGTAGGTGACTTAAATTACACTTTTTTTCCTTTTGATTTTGGTTTCAGTTGGTTCTTCCACCCTCTCTCCTGTCTAATAAAAATAATAGATAACTTGTACACATTAGTGTCTGAGAAATTTCTTCCAAGAGACAGAGAGTAATCTTGCACAAAGTCTAAAAGGCTGACTTTAGTCTCTAGAGTATCTTGGACTTGTGTAGTAGAGAATTACTGGCTTAATGTGCAAATCAAAGAACGGAGTCTGTAAGTCAGTATAGATCAGTACAGCTGAAGGATGGAAAGATCAACCACATTTAAATTATTTATTTGTACAATGGGCAAAAAAATAGTTGCTATTAAAAAAAACCAAACAACAAACAAAATCAACCACCCAAACACATACAAAAACCCCACCTTTTCAGTTTTGTTCATGTCTGGGTTATGCCTTGCATTAGAAAGTCATAACTGTGATAGATTTCTATTAGAATCACAAGGATATCGGCATCAATCTCACAGAAATGCTGTGTGTGCTTTTTCCAAGAAGGCTGTTCCTCAGGCAAGGGTAGCTCGTGCCATTCAGTGCAGGTTCTGCTTTGTTCAGACAGGTGACTTGTGGTCTCCTCTCCTCCCATCCTACCAGTAATACTTTGGAAGTACTTCCTCTGAGAAGTGACTTCTAAAAACATTTTTTTGGACCTGGCTAGTGAAATACAGAATTAGGTTTTTTGAAAGCTCTAACTTTTAATTATGGCTTTGGGTAAGAGAGAGATCATTTCTGGAATAATCCACAAAATTCAAAACATGAGGCACACATAAATCTTCCTTGGTAGGCCTAAGTGCAGTCTAGATACAATTTTCACTGATTACTAAACAGATAGGCATGCAGTAGACATTTTAATGTGTCTCCTTAATGAAATGCTGAGTGATCTGTATTTTCCCAAGCTGTAAAACTATTACTGACATTTGTATTCATAAGGGTAGTTAAATTTGGATGTCTGGTGGGAGCACAAACTCTAAGCTATCTAGAAGCAATAAAACTGCTTGATGTACAAGAAATTTGAAGAAACTAGGATGGGAAATTAGTCAAAGCTTTATTATTATTATTATATGCTGTTTGTTCCCTTATCCTAAACACTTTTTTTTTTCCAAATTAATTCAGTGAGCTTTGAATTATGTCCTTCAGATATAAAACTCTAAGGTAATGGGTATTTTTTCATTGCTAAAAGAAACACTTGTGTTGTTTTTTTTACTTCTAGCAAAACATACAGTTTCTAGTCTTAATTAAAACTGTTGATTATGTTTTTTCTCTGCATAGACTCAGTGTTGTGTGGCACCCAGGGCCAGATTCCTGGGTTTAAATTGGGAATTGCAGGTGACCACAAGTGTTTCTGCTTAAACCCGAAACTGAGAGCAACTTCCTTGTGCTTCCAGCAGATGCTGGAGGTGCTTGTGTTGCTGTCACTGAAGTTTACTAGTTCTGTACTTTCATTTATCAGTTAGTCCTTGTCTCGGTTTTGGTGTCTAAGGCACCCTCAGCTCACATCTTGCACTAAGAAAGCAGGAGAAAGAAGTTGTCTCACTTTGTATCTTGTTATGGGGGACTCTGGTTCAGCTGCATTACTTGCCTGATCTTTGCACCTGGGATATGAATCTGGGTATGGTACTTTCAGACCTCTCCTGTAATTTCTAACTTATTAGCATAAGAGAAGGAACAGAATTAATTCTCTCCATTTTATGTAACTGTGAAATGAACTCTGTGGTGTCCATCTTGAGAACAGCTTTTATGCTTACAAAGAGGGATGAGCTAGGATGCTCAGGTCTTGCTGGCTTCAGCAGCTGGGCTGGGGCAAACACCGAGTTTTTTGGCAGCACTTTGCAAATCCCAGTCTTTGGGGAGTATTTTTTTCTCCCCCAGGACTCTGTATGGGACCAAGTCACCTAACTTAGAGCTCTGTGAGGTTGAGGAAGCCACAGCACTAAGTCTTAAATGCTGAGCTGGAATTTCTGTCTGCCTGACTCCTCTTTGTTTCAATGGTCAAGGGTTTCTTAGACTTAAATGGGCCAAATGCCTTCTATTCCCATTGAGGATTGCCTGGTAGTGGAAGGAGGATGCTCACAGTGCAGACGCTGTTTTCCCTCTATTCTAAATCATCTAGAGCACACATAAGTATTTCAGTAAATGTGTTCATGCAAAATACTTTAATACAGGTAGCTACCTAAACAAAGGGTAAACCACTCCTAAGGAAAAACAGAACGAGCAAGCAACCAAAAAACCCTCACAAGATGCCCACCCCCTCCTTCTCTTTTCCTGATGTGCTCTCTTATGAAATTCAGCTTCTAGTTAACAGAAACAAGTGAATCGGGAGATAAAAAGCTGAGGAAGCTCTTTTTGATGTGCTGCAAAGCACTCTGCAGTGGCTACTGAAAATCACCCTGCTGAGTACATTGGGGCCTGCTGTATGGAACATAAAAGAGACACCGAAGTTAAGTAGTGGCTAATATGTGTGAATTGAGTGTTGTAAAGCTCAGGAATGTTTTTAGCAGGATGATTTTTTTTCCCCCACAAAAGAGAAATGTAAAGGCTCAAGTCCTGTTAGAAATGGAACAACTCAGCTCCTAAGAGATGTGAGGTTTGTGCAGAACCATGGCTTAATCCCTCGGAGAGGGAGGAGGCTGCACAGCTTTGGTTCCTTTCAGTAAGCATATAAATGGAAGAATTGCTCTGACGTACAGGGAGAAGGGGTTGTATAGTGCTTGCTTCAAATTTCCTGTTGTTAGCCTCTTAATTGTGTTCATTTCCCCCCCCCCATCATAAGCATCAAGCAAGCCTGTGACAGTGGTCTTGGTCTGTGATCTCTCGGGTGATGCCAGTGCACCCTCTGTACGATGCTGCAAGGCCTGAGCTACCAAGCTGTTCCATCACTCAAGCACATGAACTGAGTAACCACTGAGAGAAGTGAGCATGCAGGACTGATGCACTGAAATCTAACACATTTTGCTCCCTGTGACTGGCCTGGCCTCCAAATTACAAAATTCCTGAATGGTTTCTGACATCTGTCATCTTAATTAGCATTTGGAACCCTAAAGCAAATGCAGACAAGGTGTCCTTTTAGTTAATTCTTTTTTATAACCATTTAGTAAAACTTGTTTAAAACTCTGACAGTCATGTTTACTGCTTTCTCAGCAAAATGGTTTATTGCAATACTACACCTCAGGCTAAGTGAAAGGCAACCTGCCTGTCTGGTTCCCTTTCCCCATCCTAGGTAAGACCTCTACTTTCCAATTTAAAGGCAAAAACCTGATAGCCTAGAGTAACATCTTTAATCTTTATACATAAAATATAATTCTGTACACTTAAACAAGTTAGAGAAATTCTGCCCAGTTGAACAGAATTTAGATTAAGATCATGGATGATGAGAGGCAGCTCAATGGCAGTAGAAATCTCAGGAGGATAAATACATATCCAGGTAACTATTTTATACAAACAGACCAAACATGACAGTACTAACAAGTTTGACTGAAAACTTGATGGGTTTTGCAACACAAATTGAAGCAATTCCTGTCAGAAGCACAAATGTTCTCAACTCCCGCTGGTAGCCTTGGACACACATAAAACTGATGGAGTGCTTCATAAGCGTACTTTTAATGTAAACACTAGCTCAAGTCATGCATCCTGCTAAGACCAATAGCTATTGGAATGTGACATAACTTTAGAATTATTGTACTTTATGCATCTCTGCCATACTTGAAAGGTTTCCTTTCAAGTCGGTCACTGAAGTAGAATTTATCCAATAATACGGCATCGAAGAATAGCATTTGATGTGCCCACAAGCCATTGCAGTACCAGGATGCTCCAACATGTTTGCAGTCCCACGGGAGTCTGACACATGTAGAAACCAACTTGGTTCTAAAAGAGCAGCACCTTGCAAGTAAATACTTACGTATTCTAGGTTAGAGCTGGAGCTAGAGCTGATTAGCATAAGCTGTGCAAAGTAATTAGACAGTCTTTAGTGAACTGTTCTGTGGTTTTTCTTTTGGTTTATTGGGTGCTCGTGGATGTACAGCTCCCAAACCTCCCTGCTCCCGTATTTGTTCTGCAGGGCAGTAAAGTGAGATGGGTGCTCTGGAATACTGGTCCTTGCAGAACCAGGCTTAGTTGAAAGCTGTCATAAAGTTTCTCTAATGCCTGGCAGGCCTCCTGTCCAGAGGGCTGCCAATAGGGCAGAGCTTTCTCTGCAAATACCAGAGATGGTAAATACAATTTTTTTTTTTAATTATTTTTTTTTTTTTTTAGGGAGTATGTACAGTGTACAGACACTGTGTAAACTGGGACTCCGGCCCCTCCACACCATCCCTGCTGCAGAAGTGGTGTTATATACT